GGACATGAAGAGCTGGATGACGCCCAAGTGCAAATGCTCAAGAGAACATGCCACAGTCAGCCAATCAAATGCCCTCGCAACCACTTTCGCGGCCGAAGGCTGAGTCGAGTACTCAGCTGGAGCTAGGCGCCGCCAGGAAAACTAGGACCAGGGAGCAAAACGGGGTAGAGCTCCGCTGCTCGCTCAATGCGCAGTCGACTGTCAAAAGGCAACTCGCCGAAAACTGAAAGTGCTCCTACTTCTTGAAGGTAGTGTGAAAAAGTTTGCAATGATTTCAACCTCATTCTCCATAATATCTTGACAATGTCTTCATCAGCTCGATATGCAGTGATAGCGCCACCACTGCGCATGGAAGCCGGAGTCAGGCCCAGGGTCTTTGGAACCCCCAAAGCAGCCAGAATGGCGTCCCAACGTCGCCGAAAGGATGATGGTGACCCGGCATACAGAGGTTCGCCAGCTTGCAGCCCACTGAAAACGCTATCCAATGTGGCCACAACTGATGTCACTCCAAGACCCCTTCGCCGGCTTTTCGGGCGCCGTATGCAGAGGAAGCAAACATCTGGCTGTTCGTATACAAGGTCTCTGGGTAGTAGAAGGTCGAACCTCGTGGCTCCAAGAGGCTCGCCCGGCCTGCAGATTCCAAAATACGAAAGCAGCATAATACCCAGAAAGCGCCGCCAGCCCCAGAGAGAAGCAATGGATACCATGGCTCGGAACAGGACTAGTGGCAGGGGGGTGCGGTGTCTAACGGGGTCCAGGCTTTCCCATCGAACAACCAACTGCCATGCTCTGCCCATGAAAGGCCGGAAGTCTGGTTGCCATCGTTGCACTGCCGTCAACAAATGCCTGTACAGGTAAAGCGAAGCCCCTTCGGCAAACAAATCCCGGCCGAAGGCTTCTAAGAGCTCAACCAACGTCTGAGGGCAAACGATCAGTTGTTCGAAAGTGCTAACTCGAAGAGATCTAAGGCACCACGCTCGAAATCTTTCCCAAACTCGAGAACCGATCAGTTCAGTCCCGGCCTCTACAATAAGTGTGGCATTGTCAAGCAAATGAACGGGTCTGCTCGACTGCCTGGGATACCTCGGACCAGGCTTTGATGTCTCTCCAATTCGCCCAATCGTTCCACAAATCGACGCCAGGTTGATGTGCTTTCGATCAGGTCGCAACCCAGCATCAATGAGAAGAGCTAAGGAGATCCACTTGCAAAAAATATTTGGGTAAGTCTGAGCAACTCGTGTCCAACAAGCTTTATGGATTCGAGACCAGCCTACCAACTTCCGATGTTTATGATCCCGCAGACAAAACAGGCTTTGCCCTCGAAGATGACAATTCGTCAGAAAACGAGTCCTCTTCCTCCAAGGGCAGTTGCACCTGCAATAGTCCAAACGAAAAAGATTCTCTGGGTTTTTGGATCCCAGCTCAATCCAAGCATCAAGCAGCCAAAGGAAGGAGCTATCTGGATTTTCAACCCAGTAAAGTAAATCATGTTCACACGCAACCGAAATCAATTCTGCTAGCCAATCGGCGTGATCATTCCCTTCTGAGACCGCCTTGAACATTCTGGCAGTCAGACCATGGAGGCCCCTCGGGCTGGCCCTGCTTCGGATAGGCGGTCGAACTGCTCTCGAAAAGGACCTACAGAAAATGGCCGCACCCATTGCAAAGAAAACTTCAAGCTCAATCAGGCGCCTGATCATCGTTCGAAGCGACTGAGCGGACAAGTCTTGGTTGTCCCCATCTTCGAGCTCGACGGTGAGGGCCCAGACAGAGCCCTCCTCTACAATACGCCTGGCAACACCTTTCTTCCCAGAATACAAGTCTAAATAACCTTTCATAGGAGGAAGGCTGTCTACCGGCCTCCAATCTAAAGGAACCTTCCAGGCTTGAGGAAAAATGAACTGACTTGCATCGAACTGGCTCAGCAGATTAGCAACTTCATCGGGCCACGAAAACTCATGGAGCGAGGTCGATGGGAAACAAAATTCTTGGCTACCTCTTGAAGTCGAAACATCTCTCAGCTCCCGGCCATTCCGAGAAACCTTCTTAGCACGGTTTTTAGCGAAAAACATCTTGCTGCGCAACACTCGAGACGAGGCTAGAGGTAGGGAATCCTCGCTACGAAGCTCATCAAAATCCGGCAAACCTGAAAGTTCAAACGGGTCTGCGCAAAAAGAAACAAGGAACTCGCCTAGCCGACAATATCTTTCAGGGGTACTGAGAGAGGAATGCTCTTTTAGCCATTCTGGCAAATCCCGAGACGGACGGCGAACCGACTTGCCTCGGGTCGGATCATCTGCCACATTGACATCGGTGGGAACGTACCCGGCATTCGAAATCATTCCACATCCAAGGTGAATAGGTAAGCTTTGCTGAAGGACTTGGTTCAGCCCCGAACTGGAGGATCTCCCTTTTATCCAGCAGCCCAGAGCAACTTGTGAGTCGGCAAGGTACATAGTTCGATTTGGAAACCCAGCGAACACTGACTCGGCTTCGGCACGAACCATGCCTTGCAGCTCTCCAATGTTAATACGCAGGCCATCCCGACTCTTCTCGCGAAGAACCTCTTCGAATTGTAAACCTGTCACCAACAACTGATGAAGAGGATGAGCATGGAAAGCGTCACCTCCAGGAAGCTCGTCCGCAGTCTGAAGCTCGCCATGGACTCTATCGAGGGCTCTTGCAGGAGAAAGTAACTTCACCCAGGTATTCTTTCTGAGCTTGTGTCGATGCACCTCTCCCACAATCCAGGAAGGAAGCCGAGCTTTGCAGACGGCAAGGCCCCACGATGAGGCATCAGAAGC